AAAAGAATTGAATTAATTTTGTATATCACTAATATTGCAGTTGCTATTTTATGACCAGATATCTTCATTCTTTTATTAAGACTGCTCACTCTCCAAGAAATGAAGTGTGATTTTTACGGTTTACATGGCAATGATTTATATGAGGACCATGGCCTGTCACATGATAAGACCTGACCCCACACAGCATGATGTAAGTGTAAGAATCACACTCTTTCTTAGGGTCAGCAGCTCCCTGACACAGATCCCTGTGTTCAACCCACCACCCACAAAGTAGGGGAAATATGTCTTTTCCTTTTTTAAAAAATTTTCTCCTTTTTTGTCAGCTCCCTGAATTACTTTCAGGTAGTTCTGCACATTTCTACTTTTTCATTTAATTAGGTGCAAACACTCAGTATAAATAAAATAAAAAAGTTCTCTGCAGCTAGTAGACTGTTGCAGACTGCCAGACACCGAAAAATGTTTGTCTGTGTTGCCATTGCCTAATAATTCACATTTTATAAACAAAGAAATCTTTCTCTCCCACTTTTTTCTCTCACATTTCCAGTTAGCTTTTGGGGGTTAGAAGCTTGGATCCAGCTGCAGAATAAGTTTGGATCCCAGTATACAGTAGGTGTACTATCCATGGAAACAATAGGTGTACAGTACTACCAAGGCTCCCTGCCTGCCTTTCAGTCACACAGACTCCATATCCTTTAGGAGATGCCATTGCAGTGCTTGTATGTAAATGCTACATAATCTGTTAGGTATTTCAGATCCCTTTCCATGGTCCTTGGGAAGCCAAGTCATAATTCTTTATGTCCTTTTTCTAGCAGAAGGCACAAGGCATAGACTTCCCCCATTACAATGATGCGATACTATGGAAGTATCTACAAAGAACTTATGTTGATTCACTAAAAGCATATCAGAACGGTGTGTAAAGTTGGTTATCTCTGTTTATATGCGAAGAGAGAGAGTCTGGAGAGGCTGTGCAGGCTTATGAGTTGATGTGCTACTAAACTGCAGAACCCAAATCCTCTTGGTTTCCAAAGTCCCCCAGTATCTACAGAGAGCCATGGTCAACACGTCTGGCCATAGGAAACCAGTTACTTGTTTGCATTTATATATGGATCAACTGGTATCTGAAAGCTGGGAACTCATACCTGGGCATGGTATCATTGCAAATAGTTATAGAGTTATCCTCTAGTGCTATAATTCTGTGTAGATGCTGCAGCTGAGTGTAGGGCACTGATAAAACTGTATGCCTCAATTATTTGTGTATTTAGCTCCTTTCAACTTCAGCTCAAGACAGGACTTCAGAACTTCCAGACTGTATTATAAATTCTAGTAGTCATGCTGGTTAGAGTAATTTAGTCACCCCCTTGCTCTCTTTCTGGATCTCTTTCTTAAAAAGAAAGCAGTGAAAATTTAGGATGCTTGGTAAATCTGAAGCCTATATCCCATTTAAATTCAGTTCTTCAAGCTAAATTGTGCAGACTGTCAACACCTATTGAAGCTATTGCATTATGCAGAGAATCAAGTTAAACAGAATCTCATGCTTTGGTGATGGAAGGGAAAGTTATCTTTTTCTGAACAGAAACTTTATTTCTATTGTGCTTTATTCTGATATGAAAAGTGACCATTCCTATGACTTTTCAGCATTCTTTCTTCAAAGACCAGTTTCTTTGCCAGCTGCAGCACTTCAACAAATCTCCCAACATCTACCCAAATTGGCTTGAGATAGCAATTTTTTCGGAGTGTCTACTTGCTCAAGACTTTAGAACCCTAGTCCTTATCTTGAAGAGGCTCAAGACCATGTGTTAGAATCTGCAGAATTGGAGCAATGTTTACAGAATAAAAATTTTCACTGTCAGAAAGTAAATATTCCTAATAGTAGATATGAAGAGACCAAATACAATAATATGTTATGTAAATAATTGTGTTGCTGTTTGCAAATGTGTTTTTATTCACTTTCATTTATTTTAGGTGCTTTGTTTGGTCTTAACAATCCACTCTAACTTGAATGACATATTCCAGATGTAAATGTGCACGGATGCTGTTCAGGCTGTAGATGTCCAAACCTTTATTGTGTGCTTCACAGCACACAAGTGTCTTGTGTGTGTGCATTCATACATGCATGTACATGCTTTATAACCCAGTGCCTTCCCGTGTCTTACTCACTGCATAAAAGTTTGCACACAGTAAAACACTGTTTTATAAAATATCCCCATTGGCTAACCTTCACTGCTCCCAAGGCAGGCATGATCTATCAGTGGTGTAAAGCTGCAGGCACAATTAATCTTTTGTGATCTGTCATAATACATTGTATTTCATACACTGAATAGTCTGATTGATGTTTAAACTATAGTGCCATGAATGCCAGAGGTTCTGAACAAAAGTTTATATCTGTTTCTAAGCATCTTAACTTCCAGATCTCATTTTGAGATTTTGGTTCCAAGAAGGATTTGGTTCTAACAGCAGAATTTTTTTTCGTCTATTAATGTTGATTTCAATGCAAAACCATGCATATCTTCTAAGTATAAAACCTACTCTGCCGAGTTCTATAAAAATCTTCCAAAATACACTAAGACCAGGAATTTTTGCTGGAATCTAAGACTGGAAGGACAACTCTTTGGCAGTGAAATACTTACCTTCCAGGAATTCATAACTGGTAAATATCCTTACCTTTCCACACTTACAGACTTCCTTTACAGTTGAGATGGGAAGGCAGGAAGAAGCCAGGTCATTCTACAAACTGTTCATGCCTTCAAAAAGGAACAGATCTTGTGGTCTTGTGGTAATTCTTTAAAATCAATAAGATGTTCTACTCAAGAATACAAGCTGAGATTTTCCAAGACAGAAGCCAGAGTGGCAACATGCCTTTACTTATATCAACACAAGGAAATGAGCCAATTATAGCAAAACTAACCCAACAGACCTTAGGAATTTTAGATGGAAATCCAGAAGATACTGCTCTCTCCTCCACCTGCTTTGGCCAAACTCATGAGGACAGCAAAGGGCCAACAAAGTCATCATCTCTCTGACAAGTGTCAGGGAAACCTGGAGCTATTGCTGTGGTCATGGTAGGTCTCTGTTAATGTCTGTGAGTCTTGCTGTAATTACTTACTCAATTTCATAGAATCTCTTTGCTGTCTCAGTGAAAGTGTCCACCACTTTTTAAAATAGGGACAGAACAATTGGTGCATCAGAGGGTTAAAACTACATTTTATGCTATTAACTACATTGCTAGTAAAAGAAATATAATCTCAATGCATGTTACAATTTTCTGTTTCCCTTTCTGTCATGTTGTGTGTTCATTCCTGTTACACAGAGCATGGAGTTTCTGTTGAAATGAAATGCACTTCTGGAGTTGTGTTACACCAACCATCCTAGGTTAAGGATGAAAAGAGAAAGAAACTTCCTATCCTTCTAATTTTGGGGGCAGTCCTTACGAGTTAGGCTGGCAAGGCAATGCAAAAACACCAACCTTCCTGCCCTTCCTATTCTCTGGCTAAACAGAAAATTCAAAGCTACCTAAAACCTATCTGCAAGTTTTCAGCCTGTAGATTCATATGCCAGTTATGGGTATACAGGAGAGGAAGAAGGCTACAATTCTTTTGAAGTCAACAGGATAAGAGCATCATCTTCCCAAATTCTTCAAATGAAGTTGTTTTAAAAACTTCTACTGCTATGGTGTTACTTACTTCCTTGAATTTCTTACACAGGAGTTCCTGAGCTTGAGTCATTTTTGTGAGACTGAAACCAACACTGCACAAGTTCATCATTCTCAGACCATGGCTGTAGCTGACTACACCTGGCCTTGGAGGACACCAGGACTTCTGGCAGTGAGAAGGGTCAGCTCCTTATTTCTGCTTCTGGTAGCTCATAGTTTCTTGCCAGACTGAACATTTCTGCCCAGCTTCAAATTTCTAAGGGAAAAAATTTTAAGAAGCTGAAATAAAAGCAAAATGGGATGGGAATATGAAAACAACATTTCTGAGCCCTGCTGAGTTCCAACAGCAACACAAAACTATTCCATTTACATATTTAGCTAAATAAATCCTGGCATCTCCACTAGTATGTTTCCTCTCATTGTGGGGGTTTCTTTTGACTTGTGTTGGGACAAATATAAGACGAATGAGAATGAGGGACAGATGTCAGTTCTGTAAGTGCTAGTGGGAACTGGGGACTCCCTTCAACAGCTGCTTTCAGAGTGTTCAAACCGGACCAAGCCCATTTATCTGGAGCAGGAGTGCTGACAGAGACCAGCTGATGGACCTCAGCTTCAACCTGCAGTTCCTCATGGCCGCCCCAAAGCTGGAATCTGGAACAGCAGGATTAATCCTTCCCCGTGCTGCTCTTCAGGGACGCTTGGTCACCAGGGTCGCGTGCCTTTGTCACTTGTCCTCAGCCCTCACCTGAGCACCATCCCTCTCCCTGCAGCAGCCCCTGACCTCAGCAAGGCACTGCTGGCTGATTTTGTGTTGAGGAGAGGAAAATGCTCCCCACGCCTGCGCCCACCCCTCTGGAGATGCACAGCTGAGCCACAAACTCACCGGGAACCAGCACCAGCTATGGAGCAGCCCTTCTCCTCTCACTCAGGGACTGCTGCTGCTGTTGCTTGTCCTTTCCCCCCTTCTCCCTCCCTGCTGGCTTTTGCCTTTCCTCCACGGTGATCCATTAGGTATTTACGGGCAGGATAATGTGACTTTTCACACGGGCTCTCTGTGCGCGCTGCCCTGCAGACCGGGCTGGGTAAAGCCTCTCCCCGAGCCCAGCTGGCTGGACATCTCCCCCCACCTTCCCCTCCCCTTCACACCAGCCAAGCCAAGGATTCCTCTCTCCCTCCCTCCTTCTTTTTCCACCCCTCCCGCCTTCAGTGCAAACCCAACACGCAGGATCCTGCCGAGGGAAAGCGCTCCTTGGAATCATCACGGCAGACCCGGCTACGAAAGTGCAGAGGAGGAGAGAGAAAAAGCCTCGGCAGCCAACCTCCTGCAGCTGAGGGCTCTGGAAGCAGGGCAATGGCTCCAGGCTCTCAGAGATTCCCTCTCACCTTTCTCCAGGGCTTGGGATCTGTCTTCTTCTTCTTCTTACTTCAGATCATCTCTGTTCAGGCTGATGGTGAGTCTCCCATTCAGTTTGGGCTGGGTTGCTATGGCTGGAATGAGGGCTGTACGTTGAAATGTGTTATTGCAAAAAAGAAAAAAAAAAACACCCAAACCAACTTCTTTTTTTTTTTTTTTTTTTTTTTTTTTTAAATAAGAAGCTTAAATACACGCCCCAGTTTGTATTAGGAAACTTCTGATTCAGAGCTTTTTGAGACTTTACAAATATCTTGGGGTTAAGCAGAGAAAGGAAATAAGATCCCAGAAGGCTGAGATTATTTTATTACAACAGAATGACAGGATAGTGAACTTTTCCAGAGGAAATAAGAATAAAGAAGCAAAGCCAGAACACGACTAAGAAGGCTCAGCTATATTTTAGGAGACCTCTCCTTATAATTCAAAGTACCTTTTCTCCAAAGAACTTTCCTATCTCCCCACTTCAGGTGTGTCATTTTATATGGGCAGGTACCTGAGAAGTGAAAGACTTTGATAACCTCTTCTGTTCAGTGCCACACACGCTGAAAATGAGCACCCACCTTTCTGCACATGAGCTTCATCTGCACTTCCCTGCTGAGGGATGTGATCAGGACATGGATTTGGCTGAAGCACCAGCTACCAGTTACTCTGAAATGGGACTTTTTACTTGCTGATGGTGATCCTGAAAAGCTGCATCCCTTGAAAGTTTCCAGTAGCTTAACACCCTTTTAATGATTCAGCTCGTGATAATGATGATCAACTTGTCTGAGTTGGTCATCATTACTTTTGAAACAACTGTATGTTTTCCTGGGACAGCAATGCTGAATTGTCCACATTTTTCCACTTTCACAGCTGCAATAGATTTATGCCCAATCTCAGGATTTTTTAATTCCAATACCCTAATCCTTTACCATTGATGTTTCCTGCATTATTCCAGAGAACAGAACTTAAACATTATAGGGCAATAAAAATCTCTTCTTGTTTGTTCTCACAGTATTTTTCCTGTTTAACTTAAATTTCTTTCAGTTGGTGACAAAGTATGGCAAAGGAAAGGGAGAAAATTAATCTTGCCTGTATGTTTCTACAGCTTTGAGTAGAATGTATAAATGTATTCCATTTATACAACAGAGCCCTTTCTTGTAAAGTTTGAGAGTTACATTTCATTCAGCATAAAGGAAAAGAAATGCATCAGACAACTGCACTATGTTGCAATAGGCAAAACTGTGATTCTGTTTTTAGGATGTACTCCTTCCTCAGCAAAATGCCTTTGAAATGAGAAGAGAGGGGAAAAGCCTATCCATGAAAAGGGAATCTTCACAGAACTTGAGGGCGCAGGGCAGGAATAATAATTTCCCTTGCTAAGAATGCTTCACCTGAAGATCCCCTTGTTCTTTCAGGGGCACATTCCAATTTTTGTTATTTCCATAAAACTAATGAAATTAACTTTTTGATTCCTAAACAAGCATCTTCTAAAAGAGACAGGGAAAAAAGTTGAAGATCATTTTAAGGCAGAGGTCATGACAGATTTTAATTGTCATTCAACAGTTTGTCAAATTTACTTCACGTGTGGTAAAACATTCTTAGTATGAAAGGCAGAATATCTGAAATACTTTACAGTTGTCAAGCATTATTACAATAATGTGGTTTGCAATTTTATTTAAATTCTAGGTAGCATTGTGAAAGATGTGTAAGTCTGCTATTAACTTGATCTTCAGTGGGTTATCCTAATATTAATATTTGAGGACACAACTGTAGCACTGTCTTATAAGCCATCTGGGTTAAAACAGAAGAAAACACTGTATACCAGCTTTAAAATTCACCACTATGTATTTAAGAAAATCTGAGAGTAGGAATTAGGATTAATCCTTTCTTTTATAGCAGATTCTGGTCTGATCCAGTCAGAAATCACCTTCTCATTTTAAAGGTGTGGGTGAAACTATAATGGTGCTAGTTTCTAATACATGTTAATGTCACTTAAGTGCCAATGTTCTGAGTGACACATACGTGTTTGTGTATTTGTCGTTTTTAACTGAAGGTATCTGACTGTGTTGCAAACTGCTAAAGGGATTTCGAATATGTCTTGTAAAAAACCTGTGAAATTCAGACTGGCCCCTGTTACAGTCAAACCTCTGCAACTGGTTGCAATGTATTTCCCTAAGGAAGACTTTCACTTTATTATCTCTCACAAAAATCATGACAGGGAGTAGGCAATAAAACTGACAGCTGTTGTGGTCTGGTGAAGGTGTAAAACTTCAGAGCTTAATTGATCTCTCTTGACCATTACTTACCGTGGCACATATTGCTGTAGCACAAATAGGCTGCAGAAATACCCAGGCAAATGCAGAAATAAAATGTAGCTCCGTTTCGCTTTGCAGCTTTTTTCCCCAATTGAAATGATCTTGCTCAAAGCTGTTCAGGTCCAGGTCAGATGGACAGAAGACTCCCCAAGGGCTTGTTCATACTCTGAGGTACCATGGTGTGCCACTGCCAGTGCAGTTACTGGAGAATAATATGTGTTATTGTGGCAGTTCTCAATTGTATCACTGCAAATTCAGGGGGTTTAAATTGTTTTCCATTTGCACTGGAAAGAGAGAACGAGGATGTGACTTCCTGAATCCTGCACAGGAGTTGCCTCCAGTTTTTTTGCCTTCCTCTTCTGTTTATTCGCCTCCCTCTTCTGTTTTTTCGCGGCTCCTAAAATATCCATATGTATGAACCATATTTTTCTGCAGAGTACTTGTTCTCAGACAGAGCATGTCAGGAGAGGGTGATGGCAATTCATCCACCGCACCGAGACACTCCTGAAATGAAAAATGTGCTAATTTCAAAGCTTCACTAATTGTGCCAAATTGGAGCTGCTCTGTTGGCTGAATTTGGATCACATAGAGTCCTATTGGTCAAGCCAGTAGTCAGCATTGTCCATGCATAGTGCCTGCAGAGGTTGCAGGTGAAAGGATCCAGAGTCCATGGAGCTGGGCACAAATAAGATCTGAGAGACAAGCCTCTAACTAGAAACTGATGACGCCCAAAGTAGGAAAGCACCCCTACTAAAGTATTTAATTTGGCTTCTTTTGCATCATTTTTTTTTAAAGTAAAGGAAAAAATATATGTTTTTTCTCTTCTGCTGTCTCTCAATGCTCACATTTCTGGAGCAGGCGTCTGTCTACACATTTCATTCTCCTGCTTACAAAATAACGCACATTCATGCATGAACAATTCCAACTATTTGATCCTAAATTGTCCAGGAAAATCAGAAGCTCAAGCTGGGTTTAGCTGATGGGGAACTCAAAGAAGACATCTTGATTTTGCTATTTTTCTGATGATGCAATATTTTTTTAATTGAATAAGACATCATTCACTGTTGTTTCTCACAGAAATAAACTACACATTTGTGAACACTAAGTAGAATTAGTAATTAGCCAAATCTCTGTCTGCAATTGTAGAGTTACTGGATCTTCCACCTTTACACTTACAATCAAGATACATTGTTTCACGTATCCATAGAAATTAAAATTAAATTTCTCTAGAAGTACAGAAGTGACCTTTCCTTCCTCTGCTCTCCTTCATCTCAATTTGAAATTTTTAACATTCAGTTAAAAATGTATTGGACTCCACTTTTGCACATCTTTCACCAAATTTGTTTGGTTGAAACTGATTAAGTTTTATTATTTGAAATAGGAAGTATCATGTTGTGAGGTCAGCACACTGGGCATACCTTTTAAGTCCTTTCCTTTTATATTATTTTTGAGGGATGTTCTTACTTTAAGGTATATTTGACTATGCAGTTTTCTGTTCCTTCTTCAAGCATGATGCAAATCCTGCTGAAGACATGGGGAAATTTGAACTCATTGCGGTGGGCTTTGAGCTGTGCCTGTGCACCTCAGAAGAACTTCTTGTTGTATCTGTTTCTGTAAAAGAATAAATCAGCCAAACTCTTTTCTTGATAACCAATAGAATTCTGTTAAACCCATTGATCTTTTGTAAAATATAAAGAAACAGCTTTTGGACTGGTTTTATTTTTGAAGAACTCCTTTTTTGCACTTTCACATATCTGATTGTAGATGTCTCTTAAGTCTTGAAAGCATTATGAGGATCAGTTGTTATAAGCTGAGTTTGGCAAAATTTGGAGCTGGAAATAAGGTGGAGTAAGAGTAATGAACCATGGGAACAGTTTACTATAAAGTGTGCTGTAAATTCTCCATTACTTGGAGGCATTGAATCGTGACTGGATGCATGTTAAAAAGACAAGCTCTAGTTCAACCATGAGTTTTTGGACTTGATGGTGGAATTGCAAGGGGAAATCTACAGTCTGGTAATGTAGGAATTGAACAAGGTGATAAAAATAATTCCTAGAAGCCCTGAGATCTATGTCTCTGTGGGTATGTTTTCAATCAGAATAGAGTGGGGTACTCTTAAGTAAAAACTATATTAATCTATTGTAAAAAATAACTAAAACATTCTCAATAAATCAAAATATAATCAATGTTCTGTAATAATAGTGATCAGATAATGGCAGAAGATAGCAATCTAATATAGGCTAGTTATTAAAGAGGAAATCTCTTTTGTTTCAAGCATGAATTTTTCATGAGAACTGTGAATCCCACTGACAAATAGAGGTTGGAAGAATGATGTCTTATTATTTATGCCTTATCATTGAAGTGAAAAGCTTTATCACTTTTTTCAAATGGGAATCTAAAAGAATCTCACTGTGAAAAGAATCTTTTTCACTCTGAACCTGCTAAAGTCAACATGCTCAGTACGCATCCTGAGAAATACTACTTTGCATGGATTTTTAGCTTGACCTTGAAACCAAAGGGACTTGCATTGTTAAGAAAACTTCAGAAAAGTGTGTCATTTTGGTAACAAATTTCCACCCCCCTTTGGAGGTGAAAGTGTTATGGGAAACGAATGTTACAGGGCAGAAATGAAGTGACAGAGTTGAGAGGGAGCTGAGACATGGTGGCTGCTCAAAGGTGCCACAACCAAAGGCATACTACATTCTTCATGTACACGTGATCCCCCATCCTGTGTCTTATGGAAATACAGAACAGTCTCACATTTAAAACAGAATGACAACACATATCTTGATACTCTCTCAGAGATAAGACTGATTTCAACCACCCTAATATAAAAAAATGACGGCTATGTCATCAAGTATAAGAGACAATCCTTTTTTAGGAAACATTTCATTACAAGTACGCCCAATAAAAATGTTACAAATAATTATCCAGGACCCTTAGATTCCCTTAGACTGAAAATTATACCACTTTTGAGATTAAAAGTGAGAAAAATTTAATACATCCATATCTAGAGTATGTTAGCCATGGCACTGTAAGGTGCAGAATTCAGTGTTGCAGTCTTTTTTGTTTAAGGGGATTTCCTGTTTTCACGTGGTTTTGTGGTTTTCCTATTACCATGCTAGCCTGTCTCCTGTATTTTTTCTCTGTCAATGCCCCTCAGTAATGATATTGAGGACTCAGCTATTCCATTGGTCAACCATTTGATAAGTGAATTTTTCTTGCTATTGTATTTTCTAAGTAAGAAATTAGACAAAACAAAGGGCACATCTTCAAAACTGGGCAGATAGCCAGAGAGCTTCTAAAAGTTTGAAGAAAAATCACAGGTTGGTCTGGTAAACAGATTGGCCTTCTTTACCCACTTCTAACCAAATTCTGTCTAACCAGAATTTCCTATAAAGTAATTCACTGTAACTTCCCAACCAGTAAATCTTTCCTAGCTCACCTTATAATTCACTTGTTTGTGTAATTTGATCATCCCAGATACCTTTTCAAAGGACAAGACTCTGTGTTGACAGCATCTCCACAGTTTCTAGTAAAAAGTTAGTGTATCTTAAGTACTAGGAAACAGCATAACAGTAGTCAAGGGAAGCTGTCTCAGCCCCTGTCTTGGATAGGCTAAACTCCTTTAAAAATGTAACTCTTGCTCACTGGTAAAACAACTAAATCATTAACTAATTGTATCTAGATGGAACTCAAAGCTTGATGATATTCCTTTCTTTAAGGTTTCTGAGTGAAATACTAATAGCTAGAAAATAAGGGTTATGCCATGTCAAAATAACATTCACGATTTAATTTAGATGTTGCGCAAATTTGCCCTATATGTCTTTGACAGTGCACCTCAATCCTGACAGTCTAAATGTAGAATGTGGACAAGTTTTTAGCTGGGACAGAACCTGGAAATCATTACACTTAATCCCTGTTTTCCTTTAGGAGCAAAAGTTGTTTTGCCACTTAAGAATGGCTGTTCAAAACCATCAAAACCACCTCTCTGTTTATATTGTCTCTCTCCCTAGGCCATGCACATTTCACTGTGTCTGTCTAGGCTTTGGAAAAAGGAACCACATTGGTGTCATGTGTATTATTTGGGACATGTAAAGAATCCTGATGTTTGTGTACTCAGGGATGTAGAGGCTTGCTGCTTTCACTACTTTGTGTAAAACCCCCTGTTCTAATTACACTTAATGGTTTTGGTTACAGTGGAGAATCCAAAAACAATGTAACCTAGTGGTTATCACACTGACCAGTGCTTCTGGCTATATTCCTTGGTCAGCTACTGTTAACTGCCTCAGGACAATCGCTCTGGGTACTCTGAATTTCTGTTCCTTCTCATAGCTGCTTGTCCTGCTTATTTGAATTGCCATTTTCCCAAGTCAGGATGACTTCCTGCTGGGCACATGTAGAATTCCCACTGAGGTAGGAGTCCTCATTAGGACATGTCTACCCTTGTTAGCTAATGAAAACACAAATTATATGCTTGCTTGAGGGAAACTACATTTTTTGATGTAAGGACTGTGATTCTTCTAGTGGGTGTAGCTGTGCACAGGTGAGAACAGAAAGCTGTTGGGGGCAGTTCTACCCTGTATAAGTTGCCTGTATTTAGGATTAGAATCAGATTTACCAATTTGTTGAAAGAGTATGTGATGAGAGTGGCACCTGGTACAGAACCAGGCTGAATCAGTCTGAAGAATTCCCAATACTGGTCAATATCTCCTGTGAGTGTGAAGCTGACTACATAGCAAACACTGGGTATGTGCTGGAAGTTATGCATTCCTGTAACCACTACCACGAATCCCCTTTGGAAATAAGACATAAATAAGAATTTCCAGGCATTTACTGAATGAGTGGTGCTTAAAAAATTTCTTCCTGCAACTGCAAGCAATCATAGTCTGTACCTTTGAAATCTAGGAGGAATTCTGGGGGATGTTATCACATCCCTCAGATGTCATAGGAAAAAAGATAGTTATGTCAAATTAAATGTCAGCTGCAAAGTGTCTCATTGTTTATTTCTTTTACTGGAGCACCCAGCTAATGTGTTCATTCCATAACCCAGTAACTTCTCAAACTTCATTGCCAAAACCCCAACTGACCTGCTCCCAGTTGCCAAAACCTCTAACTTGCACCCTTTCAGCTTTCCTGGTATTAGATAAATTAAAGTAAAATAAACTGAACTGAAAATAAAAACAACACAAAAAATGTTATGCTAAATATGTTCTCATGCTCATTCAAAAAAATAAAAAGCCTTCCATTAATAAAAACTCTATCTCTCTTTCCAAAAAGACATGATAATGAAGCAGTCTGCATTTAGACACCAGATGTCATGGAATGACATAATTTTGATTTTAGAGAGTAAGTGTAAATCTATTTCTGATGTGAAAGGCAGGGCTGCAAAACTGGCTTTCAGGCATGTGCTTACTTTATGGATGTAGCTGTTAGAGAGTAACTGTAAAATGTTTAGTAATGGATTCCAGCATTAGTAGCCTACAGGAGCTGCTCTTTGTGATTTTAACTTTATATGTGCATATGAGAGAGTACCATGCTTTATCTCTCCAGATCTGAAGCACAGACCTACAGAGGCAAGGCAAGCTTCCCCTCTGAGTCAGGAATGACTAGTGCCATTCTTGCTTTTCCTATGGTGGACAAAATTAAAAGAAAAGCTAACACAAGGAGGATATTTACAGTCCTGATTAAATTAGGCTTAAAAAAAAAAAAAAAAAAAAAAAAAAAAAAGGTGGGCCATTAAAAGAACCTTAGTAAAAGCAGGAAGGCTTTATTTGGTGATAATTTGCAGTATTTCTGTTGAATATGTATTGAGTACAATTCCATGATGGATGACATGTCCTTTCTTGGTGTTGCAGGGAAAGTGTTTGCACTTGAGTCCAAGAACAACTCTCAGGGTCTGGATTTAGCTGAAGCTGAGAAAGCCTGTGTTGACCTGAGTGCTCGCCTAGCAACTGCAGAAGAGCTGAAAAGGGCTGTTCTGGACTGTTCTTTTGCTGGCTGCACCACAGGATGGCTCGCCAGCGGCTCTGCTGGGTAAGGACAACAGCACAACACCTTCTGGGAGCTATGAATGATGGTTGGCAAGCAAGTTTTCCACCTTGACTAAGATTTGCTGAAAAACACTGGCCGCAATTCAATCACCATGACATGCAGCTAAATTGGCCACTCTCCCCCAAGAATTAGTTTTTTACAGCTAATATTGCAGGTGCACAAGTATTCATCAGTCTCATATTATGATTTCACAGATTTGATGCAATTTCTTCTTCTTCTTCTTTCTCACTGAATTACATTACTGTGGCTCCTGTCCCCCTGGCTTGTAGTGGGGTGCTGAGCCCTAAAGAGCCTTGCAGGACACATTTCCTTGCTGAGGACACAGTGCTGGAGTTGGTGTCAGTGCTCCCACTGTTATTCTCCAGTCCTTCAGAAGTTCAGCAAACTAAACTTCTCATGGGAACCACGTGTCTGTCTAAGATATTGATGCATGGCTGAGCAGACAATAGGCATGTTCAAAAGGGCACAGAGGCACTTAGAGATGATTGCCCACATGTGCTACAGAGTTTGTTGGGAAAGCCCACCAGGGAAGTGATGTTGTCCCTCAATGTGTTTGAGGTAGCTCGGGTGACTCAATGTGGCACTAGGCTGAGCTTTTCCCTGCACAAAGCACTGTTGCCTCTGTGGAGACTAATTTAAAGCAGGAATGTAAATGGAGGGAATGTCTTCCCTAGTGTTGAGGGAATGTCTGATGTCACTGAAGCTGGCACCATACAGGAATTGCCCAAAAGGAGTATATCAAGTCTATTTTCAATGTTCAATGAGGATTAAGCTTTGTTTCATGAAAAAAAAATTTACAAACTTTAGCATATTATTAGATTTTGTGACAGTTGCCAGTTTTTAAAGCAAGCATTGGTGTTTCTGTATTTTTAGCAATAAAATTTCCAAAGGACAGAAAATTACTACTATTAATGAAATATTACATTGAAACTATTTCAAGGAAAAGCAACTATTTTCTCCAATTGTATTTTTTCCAGGTGAAAAAATTGTTTGAAAATTTATTTTTATGTACAAAAAAAAAAAAGAAAAAAAGGAAAAAAAAATTTAAAAATTTCAGAAATGTCTCAGGATAAAAGACAGTGATCTAAACCCCAAAAATATTTTTCCCAAGACAGTTGCTGAGATGTCTTGCAGGCTGACAAGCCAGGAAAACTATATAACTGTAAGAAGTCCATGGCAAGGTTGTTGCACGGGGTCTTTTATACAACACCTGTATTCTGGAAGTAAGGATGGGGAGAAGAAGAAATCATGGCTTTTTTTATCTAAGCAATACCATTAGTTAGTCCAGTGATATCCTCATTTAATTGCTACAGGCACTGGAGCTGTGACTATTAATAGATCAGCTGTGGACTGAATATTTTCAATATCAAAATTGTGATAAAAACACAGTGATAAAAACACGCCGTAAACATGGGAAGGAAATTAAGACTTTTCATCCATTCTAACTTTCTGTACTCCATTCCCCCAGTAAACCTGTCCTTAGCATGAAAGTTTCTAAACTATTTGTCGGAAAGAACCTTGTGGGGGCACATCAGCACACCATTGTTGTGCAGTCACCAGGTCTGACCTTCACTGGAAAGCTTCACCAGAGAGAAAAGCTCTTCAGAGCTGGAATTTTATACTCTGGGGCTATTTTACCCATGGCTGGGCAAGCACCAGAATGTATGTTACTTGGTTCGTTGAACTGGGTATTTTTGGCTCTGGGGAAAAATAGGAATTGTGTACTGCCTGAAAAGGCTAATCTCTTTTAACTGTAACTTAATGCAGCTCTGGAGAAGGAACTGAGCTATTGAGCTCAAAGGGTGCAAATGGGACAAAGCTGTTTAAGTTGAACAAGTTCAGCTCCAATACAGAGATTTACAGAGAAATTTAGATGAAAGGGTAAAATGATGCCAAAAGGAGTTCAATGATAATACATGCAGGAGGAACATGCAATCTACTTGAAAATATCTTTACAGGGTCTGATTTACCTCTGTCAGGTCAGGAAAGATATGAGGGCATTGCTATGGAGAGCACAAAGAAAACCTCTGTCTGACTGCAGCTGTAATAAAAAACAGACAAACAAACAAACAAGCAAATGTTCAGCAAACAAAGAAATTGCTAGAGCATTCATGGAATGGCATGAAAAATATGAAAAAGATATATACACGTAGGTCACTGTTATAGCCTCCTTTGGAATATTACATGTATTGTTACAGTGTCTTGGGAAAAATACTAAAAGGGCCTCAAAAAAGGGCTCAAGAATGACTAAAGTAATAGAAAATCTATTAACAAGAGACTCCAATTATTTTACTAAATTAGTTATTTATTTTTTAAAATTTACCAATTCAATACTTTGGGCATTTACTTGATAACTGGAAACATGACAGCAGGAATAAAGGATAGCTGGTACAGAAAAACCTCTGCACATCAGCTGATGTAACCCAGAGAAGGGAAAGCAGGCTTCACATCATGCCCACAAGTTAGAAAAGTATGGAAAATTATTTCTGAAAGAAAGGACTCTTTGCTGGGCACACCATGTGTATTTATCTTGATGAAGCTCCACATCTTTGAATGATAGGTGACCTCCCCACATATGGCAGGCCCAGAAACTTTCAGGAATTTATGAGCTGAATCTAAAACCTTGGAATCCTCCCAGCAGCTGACAGGCATCCAATGCAGATCACAGAGCTCCAGTCGAAAACTCTCCTGTATCCTCTTGGACTGTGTACATCAGAAAGGAGACAAATAGAAGGGAACATGATAAAAGTTCCTGATTTCAAGAAGAATGAGGTTTGGTTTATTTATTTGGTGCCTGGAAGGTATCCCAATCTTTCCCCTGAGGAAAAATGGATTAGACATTGGCAGTGGAAGTAAACACAAACAAATGATGTGATTGAAGCCATTACAGTGTTACAGATTTTCTGACATGCTTCAGCCTTCCTTTCACCACTTAGATTTAAAATTGACCAGGAGCTCTAGCAGACATGTAAGCACTTTTTCACTGCTAGATCCATTCTCCAGGTTTTGCACAAGTCTGTGATTTGTTCACTTCTGATGGCTATTTATGGTTTTAGTGAGTAATTACAATCCCACTCCTAGTAAATATATCTGTCACTATTGATTATTTTGTCTTTATTATTATTTTTATAGCCAAATCATAGCCTGGAAACCAGTGGGAGTTTCTCCTGCTATGGCAGAGGCACATCACTGAGTCAGTATGAGCATTTTATACTGCTTGCTCCCTGGGCTATAGCTCTTCTGTGGGCAAAGAGGAGCATTTGGACTAAAGAGTCAGTCCAGTTTGGGTGACTGTCAAATTTCTGATAAATCTCATGTAAATGCAGATCATCCATATTTAAATATGCCCACTTCAGTCCCTGCAAACTGGGCTAGCCCAAGCAGCAGGTCTTGTTGAATATGAATCATTTCAACTGATGCAGAATGGAAATTGCTTAAACAAATAGATCCCTGCCGGTAAATCCAAAGACACAATAAACTGGGTGGTTTTGTGGTTTGAGCAGCCTGAAACAGAACTTCTTTCACAGGAATAAGGGCATGTTCTTGTCTTTCCTTTGCAGTTGTTCAGGCAAACCCAATTCAGGGTTCAGAGCTCTTCACACAGACATGTCCCTGGCAATCCAGGGGCTTGGGAACTTTTTGAGAAGAGCCACTGACAAGTAGGCAGGATAACTTCTCCCAGCAAGCCAGAAGTAAGCCCTTTACAAGTCAGTCCTGACATGTGTAACTTATAAAGCATTACACATTGTTGCATTTCAGGAAATGAAACGTCGTTAGGCAAGTCTCATTTGTCAGATGAGCCCTAATAGCTATTTATACTAAAAATGACACTCTTATGACTTACTTGCATGTCAGACAAGTGAGTCAGTAAAACCATCAAGTGATCTGCCAGAATATAAATGAAAAAAAGGTGGCACAGTTCTCTGAAAGGCTCTCACTGCTATCTTTTGAATTCAGATGTCATGCTGGAAAACTTTGTGTTGAGTCTTCCAACACTGGGCAGCATGTCCTGTAGGGTCTTGACTTCTTTTCTGGGGTTTTTGAAATTTAGGAAGTGAACATGACACAATTGGTATTAATATCTACCCTGCTCAAACAGCCATTTATTTTAGAAATTGTTAAACATCCTCAACACCTTGTATTAATATTCCCACAGCAAATTTACTCATTTCCAGTGCTTTTGTAGGATGGAAAAGCTGAAGCTATCCTATTCCCTATCCTGTTCCTTATTTGCCTGCAAAGAGATGGAGCCATGTTTCTCTTCTATAACAGCTTTGAAGCTCTGCACAGAATTTTTCTTCCATGACAGACTTCCTGCAGGGCCGTCAACCTGCTCCTTTGCATGAAATCCCTGGGCTGGTTCCTACCCAGTCCCTGGAGGCTTTATTCCAGAGGGGATAAGTCTGGAGTGAGCAAGCAGAGTCAGCTAGAATAAGCTCTGCTGTGAGAGTCAGAAGACAGGGTTTCTTTTCTTGGCTGCCCACAGACCAGGTGTTTGTTACCAGGAAAATTACTTGGTCTCTATTTTTCCTTCCTTTTGTTAGCTCTTTGGGTTTTGCACTGGCTGCTCTTGAATGTTTCTACAGTGTCAAACACAACAGGGCCCTCACTGCAGATGACACCAGTGGGAAATGTAATAATAAGAGTCAAATATGGCATTTCACAAGACTACCTACTTCTTTTTCTGCCTACTGTGTGGGACTTGCCCAGTACCTGACAGTATGGTAATAAAAGCACATTTCCTGGGAAAGAAAAAAAGCAATATCCAAGGAATGAAATAAAGGGTCAGTTGCTAACCCTTGCCAGTCTTCTCATTTGTATTTGTAAAGCCTTTGGCTTGTGGGTCCCTTGAAATTCATCCAGGTGTGCACACTAAAACAGGCCCTCTAGCTCTTTGCAGAGAAGCAGTTCTGGTGATGCGTCACTTTGGCAAGCTCTTGGTTTTATTCAAGGCTGTGCTCTGCTGACTGGTGATAATGCAC